GGATCACATCAAATGGTATTTAGCCTAAAATATATGTCCGGTTGGATTCGGATCACCGTAGCGTTTTTTTTTTTTTTTTAGTCCTGATCTAAACTCTAGGTGAAACAACAACCTTTTATTTGTTTAAAATATATATTTAACCACAAAGAGAAGTTAATTCAGTTTGTTTCATGACGCCTCACGCTGCAGGTGGAGGGGTTTCACATCAGTCCACCCGAACACCTCTGCTGCCGGGGTGGGTTGATGCTTCTGTCCGGGGTGGAGTGGTGTGTAATCAGCTGCAGGGTCCGGAATGATCCGGGGCACAGAACACTTGTCTGGCCCAGACTGAGCTGTATTGTGAATTTTAATAGAAACAGGGAACCAAACAGAAATGAAAAGAAATTCTTTCTGTTCTGTTTTGGACCAAATTCATATTTTAACAGTTTGTTTATGTTGTATCAGCTAACTGTGAGTTTGCATGTATATCATGAAACTTTACTTTATACGAAGTCATTTATTTAGAACATTCAGAAATGTTTTCATGAATGTTAGCTTGTCAAAGTAAACTAAAGCTAGCCGTCACGTTGTCTCGTCTTAAAAAACACTTTCTCTCCTCCTGGCCACACCTCCTCGCTCACCTCCCCCTCCCCTCAGAGTCTCCACTTTGTGCATTTTTCAAATTTGCGTTGGGGGCGGAGTTATCCTTTCACAGGGGGGTAAGTTACACTTTAACTCCTGACAGAAACAGAAAAGTGATGCTCGAACAAAAAGGATCAGTTTTTTTACCTCCTTCAGTTAGTACTCACTGTAACGTGTGAGCTATGAGGGCTGGAAACCTGCACACTGAGAACCACAGAGTCAAATAACTTTGGAGCACGGGAACTCGTCTCCATTTATTCAAAGAACTCTCCTCTCTTCTCTCCATACAGGGGAGGAAAAACAAAACATAAAACTGTCAGGGTCAACATGGCTACCACAAGAGTGCTGCCCTTTTTTCAAAGTCAAAGCACACAATATAAAACTCTCTTGCAGGCTGTTATAAAACCCGGTGCTGAGCTTCCAGGACCAGTTTCACCTGATCAGATCTGTTCCTTTTATTGCTTGGAACATTTCTATCAGGTGGGTTTCTGAATTTTATGCATTATTGCAGAAATATCACCCGCCAGGGGTTCAGTGGGCAGGCTGTTATAAAACCCGGTGCTGAGCTTCCAGGACCAGTTCCACCTGACCAAATCTGATCCATCAGGTGGGTTTCTGAATTTTATGCATTATTGACAGAACTTTAAAACAAGCCATCTCCCGCCTGGATCCGACGCTCAGAGCCGGCGCTAGAGGCTCCAGAGTAAATTGAGTACTATATCGCCCGCCAAAGCGCCTTTTTCGGCCGGT